TGGCCCATAGTCAAGATACCACTTGGTTACATGTTGAGCTTGCAGAGTTAAAGATCAAGTGGGCAGAGTTGTAGGATGCCGTAAATTCGGCAGCCGAGCGTGAGTCTTCTTCTATGTAAAACATCAACGCCCTGGAAGCTAACTTACATTCCAAAGTCAAGGAAGATATTGCGGCCGAAGAGAAGAGGGAAAGAATGGAGGAAAGGATCAAAAGGGCCATGGAAAAAAACTGTGAACATGCTAAGACCAATACCAACCTTTCTGGGGGCTACGACATTTTGAAGGTTGATAATGAGCGGATGCAGATGAAAATCCAAAAAATCCAAGCCAGACTCTGTGATCAAGAAGACACTTTATTGCTTTAGAAAACTCATGTCGTTTATCACATGAGGAGGAAGACTCTAGAGGATGCCAAATATGGCATTTCAATATAGACGACTGCATTATCGAAGCCTTTGCTATGGAAACTACTGCCTTCAAGAACATTCATGCGTGGCCCACTGCTTCAAGCTCTTCGAGAACTTGCTCCGAGTCCTCGAAATTTGAAGAGGAAACTGATGAGGACGGTGAAGATAAAGGCGAAGATGTTGAACTTGATATTGAGCAGCCTTTAGCTCCAAAAGATGTAGAAGAGACTTTCCATCCTTCGACCTTAGCTAAGAAAGCAGATTGATGTATTACCTTTTTATATAACATTTGTAACTATCCCAGAGTATCTTTTGGGCCCGGGATTTTGATATTACATTTCTTACTTAATTTCTCCGAGTTTTAAAAAAGAGATATCTTTTTTCTTCTTTACTTTTCCATTGATAATGCCCCTGGAATTTTTGTATATGGTTAACTTCAATACCGGGTACTCATACTTTCTCTTTTTAACCTTTAATTAGAAAGGTTTCATAACAGAGGGCCCTTATGTTTACGGTGCTCTTGAAAAGGACGTCTCTTGGTCATTTCAGCACTTGCATTTGAAGTTTAAACAACATTCAAATAAAAGAAAAACCATGTCTATTAGATAATAAATAAGATATAAAGAGAAAAGAACTTTCATTTATTCCATCAATTTTTAAAAGTATATTTATATAACCAAAAAAATTTATAAATTCGTTGATTAAATGAAACTGCCAATACATGTGGCTAATTTGTACGTCTTATTTCTACGGGGCCGGTCCTGACCCAAGGACTTTCATAACGGCTGAACTGTTAAGTTCAAGTTATGCTTCTCAGTTCTAGTAGTGCTCGGTATCACTCTGTTTCTAGAATTTTCATTTCCCTTTTGAGGCTAGAACTGACACTTTTAGTGCTCTGATAAGAGTAGCTTCTCCCCCACCCCTAGTGTTCGGATGCAAAGTATAAGAATACGAACATTGGAGTTCCTATTGCCACTTCTAATATTTATTCGGAGTATGCTTTATGTTGCTGCCTCGTTAAAAACTTTGCCCGAAAAACCCATTTGGGACAAAAAAAAATGGGACGAAGGAAAAATAAAATGCAGCACGTGCTTTTGGTATAATCATCGATCTTCAATAGTAGTACCTTTTAATATGACTCAACGTTCCAGTTTCTTAGTAATTTAACTCCATCTTGATTTTCTAATTGATAAGAACCTTTACCGGTTATAGCTTAGATCTGGTAAGGCCCTTCCTAATTCGGTCCTAACTTTTCGGTGATGACTTCCCGGTATTAAAACAACGAAGATTTGCTCTACGATTTTAATACATTTCCATCCTTTGCTTCTGTGCCAGCATTCTTACATAAGCTAAGTTTTTATGTTGTTTTAACAAATCCTACTTAATCAACATTGCTTCGTCTTTTTTCTGCTCATTTACCCGAGAGGACCTTATGGTTGATTTGCCTATCTCCACCCGAATCAGAGCTTCTGCTCCATACACAAGAAAAAAAGGTGTCTCTCCGGTGCTTGATTTTTCCATCGTTCGATATGCCATTAATACTTCTGGTAACTCCCCAGGCCACCTAACTTTTGCATCCTCTAATTTCTTTTTGAGATTTTAAATTATCACCTTGTTAGTCGAATCTACTTGACCATTAGCACTTGGATAATATGGAAACGACGTCATCCTTTTAATCTTCAATCCCTCTAAGAATTTTGTAACTTTGGAACTTATGAATTGTGGATCTGTCACAAGAAATTTCTTTCGGCACTCCAAATTGACAAATAATGTGATCCCAAATAAAATCTATCACCTCTCATTCCCCAACCTTTCTTGAAAGCACCCGCTTCAACCCATTTAGTAAATAATCAGTCAAAATCAAAAGAAATTTACCTGTCCGGGTCCCTGTGGAAAAGGGCCAACTATATCCATCCCCTGTTTCATAAATAGCCACGGCGACACCACTAAATGCAAAAGTTTTATCGGTTGATGTACCGGTGGAGCATAACGTTGGCAGTTATCATATTTTTGCACAAACGCCTTTTCATCTTACCCTATTCGGGTCCAATAGTAACCGACTCTCATTAATTTGAGCATCAATGAATCTGCTATGGAGTGATTGACACAAACTCCTTCATCAACCTCCCTCATCATATAATTAGCATCTGTTGGTCCTAAGCACCGAGCCAACGGAACCTGAAAAGACTTTCGATATAGTTGTCCATCAATAAGACAATGCCAGACAACTTTTGTTCGTAATGCCTATGAGGCTCTAGAGTCATCATGCAATTTACCATGACTTAGATATTCTATAAATTCGCTTCTCCAATCCTAGACTAAATTTATTGAATTAACTTTGCAATAACCTTCTACATCTAGGAGTGAGTGCAACAACTGCACCGGAATCATCGCCTTTCATCTCCATTGAAGAACCTAAGTTAGCCAATATATCAGTCTCCACGTTCTCCTCTCTTGGAATATGGATCACTAACCACTCCCAAAATCGGAAAAGTAAAACTTAAACTTTATTCAAATAATTCTGGATACGCTTCTCTTTAGCATAAAAAAACCCATATATCTGATTAACCACCAGTTGGGTGTCGCTCTTTACTTCAATCACCTCGGAGCCTAGCCCACAGGCTAATTCGAGTCCTGCAATCATAGCCTTATACTCGGCTTCATTGTTAGTTAAATGAACAGTTCAAATGGCATGCCTCAGGATTTTCCCTGAAGGCATAATTAATAATATCCCAATACCGAACCCTTTTACGTTGGATGCACCATCGATAAACAAGGTCCAAATACCAAAAATATTTCTGATATCAAAATTTCTTCTTTTGCAGCTAAAAGCATCATCCCTCGACTAAAATCAGCCACAGTCATCCAAAGCTTGTGACTTGATCGCAGTCCGCAGTTTATATTCAATATCATATTCACTATTTCCAACTGCCTATTTAGCCAATCGACCTGATAACTCAGTTTTATGACGGACTCTTCTCAAGGGAAAAGTTGTCACGATGGCTATAGGGTGACATTGAATGTAGGGTCTAAGCTTACAAGAGGTGACTACGAGATCTAGAGACAACTTTTCTAGGTGTGGATATCATGTTTCCGCACCTGAAAATATTTTACTAACATAATATATAGGGAATTGCATACATTCTTCTTCCCAGACTAGAGTTGCACTTACCGCAACTTCCGACACCACAAATAAACTAGAAATTGCCCCCATCCTTTAGTTTAGACATTAAAGGAGGACTAGACAAGTACTTCTTAAAGTATTTCAATGCTTGTTGGCACTCTAGTGTCCATGAGAATTCATTTTTTTTAATAGAAAAATAAACCGAAGACACTTCTCCGGCAATCTTGATATGAATCTGCTAAGGGTCAACAACTTGCCGGTCAACCTTTGCACCCCCTTTACGCTCTTCAGTTGATCGAGCATATCTTCTATGGGTTTAATCTTATTAGTATTTACTTCAATTTCTCTTTGTGAAACCAAGAATCCAAGAAATTTTTCGGATCCAACTCCAAAAGTACATTTCTCTGGGTTAAGCTTCATATTGAACTTCCTTAAGATCTCAAATATTTCGTGAAGATGAGTTAAGTAGCCTCTTGCACTAAGAGACTTAACCAACATGTCATCAATATAAACTTCTATCATTTTACCAATTTGACGTTCAAACATCTTATTAACAAGCCTCTAATAAGTGGCTCTGACATTTTTAAGCCCAAAAGATATCACATTGTAACAGTACATACAAAAATTGTAATAAATGAAGTTTTCTCTTAATTCACCGGGTACATCCTAATTTGATTATACCTGGAGTATGCATCAAAGAAACTCACCAACTCATGCCCAACTGTGGCATCGATCATTTGATCGATGCTCGACAATGGAAAAGAGTCCTTAGTGCAAGCCTTATTTAACACATTATAATCTATACACATTCTGAAATTATTATTCTTTTTTGGCACTACTATTATGTTTGCTAACCAATCGGGATACTCTACTTCACATATTGAACCTATATTAAGCAACCTGGCAACCGCCTCTTTCACAAACCTATTTTGGACCTCGGCTATGAGCCGTTTTTTCTACTTTACCAGAGGGAAATTAGTTTCCAAGCTTAGCTTATGAACAACCACTTTTAACGGGATACCTATGATATCTGAATGAGACCATGCAAAAAAGTCAATGTTAACCTTAAGAAATTTAATAACTTCGAGCCTAGGTTCGAGACTCAACCCCTTTTTCACGTAAACCTTTCTTTTCGGGAACTTCGTGAATAAAGTGACTTGTGCAATCTCTTCTGTGGTTGATTTTGTTTGATTCGTTTCTTCTGGTTCCTGGAAAGTTCTAGGCACCTGGTAAATATTCGGTGTCTCCTCCTCATTATCTTTTTCTACCAGGATTAAAATGGAAGTTGACACTAGTTCCTGTAATTACTATTTATTAATACCTTCTACCTTACTGCTAGACAAAGTGATGGCATTCATTTCTCTTGTTGTAGGTTCATTATCTCTAATTTTTTTTATCCATCCGGTGTTGAGAACTTTAGCAATTGATGATAAGTTGATGGCACAACCTTCATTTAGTGTATCCATGGTCTACCAAGAATTATAGGTCATATCACCATTCACAACTTCAAACAAAGTGGATTTTGTCACCCCTTCAGCATATGTAGGCAACACGATCTCCCGTCGGGTCGTCACACTTGTTAGGTTGAACCCAGACAAAAGCTTTATTGCCAGAACTATGCATTCAATCATCTTTGCTTGTTCCAAGACTCTTAATTGAATAATATTAGTTGAACTACCTGGATCAACCAACACACGCTTAATTTTAAAGTCTAAAACATTTACAGATATTACCAAAGTATTATTGTGTAGTAAAATAAGGCCACCAACATCTTCCTCAGTAAAGGTGATTTCATCATCTTTTGGCGCTTCCTGGATCCTCTTTCCATGAGTGACTGATATCTTCATCTTCTTTGTAGCCGAAAATATCATCATATTAACTTTAACCCCACCAAAAATCATGTTTATTGTAAGAGGGGGAGACCATGTAGTTGGCTTTGCCGGTTCCGCTGCATCTTGACTCATATCGTAATTGCTCTTAGCCCAGCTACTTAGAAACTCTTTAAGATGACCATTTTTCAACAACATCGCTACCCCTTCACGAAGATGTCAGCGGTCCCTAGTCCTATGATCATGTATACCATGGAATCCACACCACAAATAAGGATTCCTCTAACTAGTGTCTGATAGAATTGGTTTTGGGAACCTTGCTACCGTGATGTTTCTCATAGATGAAACAACTCCACCAAGATAATATTAAAATTGTAATTCAATAACTGGGGATATCCTGTATCTCAGGACCCTGACGGCTCTTTATCTTGTAAGGCTCTACTACTACGCCCATGACTAGTCCACGTGTTTGGTACGAATCTTTCCAATGACTGAAAACCTCTAACTCCACGCTTGAATTGACTGATTATCAGACCTTTTGTTTGACACATATGGTTGAAAACGACTCCTGGATGGTCTATGGTCCGCATCAAGATCAGTCTTAAACTTTTAAAGATTCTGATCACGATTTTGACCTTTGAAAGATACCGAAGAATCCAACTGATCATTTTCAATCCTAATTTTGGATTCATAGAGATTATGGACATACGTGGTTGCATAAAATTCCAATGGACTCTCCTTCAACTTCCTTGATGCATGGGAACTTAATATATTGAGAGTCTTGGTAAACGCTTACGCTTCCTATTCATCCGGTATGCTGGCAACAATAATATCTCCTTTTAGGACCAGATCACGAACTCTCGCAGCAACTCTAAATCTCCTTGAGCGGTTCTAAATATATCTGCTTTTCTAGCTTGGACTTTCCTTTCCCCAATGTGTGCTTTGATAAAATAATCAATTGAGTGTTCAGGTGAAAAAGAATACCATGTTAAAGCACCTTTCGTTAAGGTTTTGCCAAAATGCTTTAGTAAAAACGATTTGATCTCATGCAGAGCTAAATCATTTCCTTTCACAATTGTGATGTTGATTGTGATATGTTCTTTTGGATATGATGTTTCATCGTATTTTGGAGTATTCGGTATCTTAAATCTCTTTGGAATCGACTATGGAGCCGCACTTGGTTTGAATGGCAACTGAATATACTTCTTTGAGTCCGGACCCTTCAGGACCAAAGGTTCCCCCGGGATCTAATCCATCCGAGCGTTAAATTCTTTAGCATTTTGATCCATTCGAGCAATTATTTCTCTCATGAACCTCATGAGCTTCGTCTTAAAAGTATCATCTGTGTTGTTTTCATTTCGGACACGCTGCCTGCACTGCCTGCTTGGTTGTTATTCAATCTGAACTCCTTCCTTGAAGCAATGTTACCAACTTTCGGAGCTGTCTAATTTATAGGCATGCCGGGAGGGGCACGAACTCCAGAATTGGAATTATTTGAAGCAACTGATAGCAGTTGCTGGATTTCAGTCATTATTCGGTCCTGTCTTGAGTGATGATTCATGATTTTTCTTTAATGTGCTCTCAAAACTTTTACAAGAGTAACAAGTACATGAGGGATGAGAATACTACAAATATGGTCTGAAATGAAGTACAACTATCTGAAACTAGATAAACAGTAAAATCATGGTAGAATGGGATTTTAAGGACTGCTAACGCCATGCAGCTCTACCTCGGGTCTCATGTGAAAGTCGGATTCGAGCACTCTCCACTACGTGCCACTAGGACCAACACCAGAATCTATACAAGAAGTGCAGAAGTGTAGTATGAGTACAACCAACCCAATATACTCTGTAAGTGTTCAGCCTAACCTCGACAAAGTAGTGACGACGCTATGACAAGACACTCACTATAAACATGTACGGATAATAATAATAAAGGAAGGCAGAAATATAGATAAAGCAGTAAACTCAAAAGGATGGGACCCAAAGGTCAAATAACAGAGGGCCCCGGAATAACATCATCTCAGAATACTCATAACACACAACCGGAATAGAACATTATAGATACAACCATTAAAACATATCATACTTTGTTGCAGCGCGCAACTCGATCCCAACATTTATCACAATATCCATTGCGGCACGTAACCCGATGCCAATATCATATCAATATCTATTGCAGCGTGCAATCCGATCCCATTATCAATTAATTTCAACACTATTGCGGAGCACAACCCGTTTCCATTATCACCTCATTAACATGAACAACGTAACACAAAAGTTACCAAAGCGTGCAAAGCACCAAGGATATACTAGTACAATATAGAATAACCAATACCTCGTACTCACAAACCTCAACAATGCTTTAATACAAGAACAACTAAAGGATTGACACAATTGGGCATAACATAATAAAGTGAAACAAGTAAGGTAAAGCCAATTAATGCATAAAATAGTGAAATATCCAACTAGTATAGGTGAAAGCATATAGCAGGTAAGCAAATATTGATCAAGGAATAAGTAAACAGAACAAGCAACTATTGAATGACAGATAATAAATAAGGAATAAATAATAGTTAACGACATGTAGCAATCAACGCAAACATAACATGGTATAACTAATGACATAAAGGTAAATAACCCAACCCGCATGCTTTAGCCCATGACAACGTATATACACTTGTCACCTTGCATATACGTCATCCCCTCAAGTAATTCACATAGAAAATAGACAAAATAAGTCTTATTTCCCTCAAGTTAAGGTTAAATACGACACTTACCTCTTTCCGCAACCAAATCAATACTCAACCATGGTTTTTCCTTTAGAACAAGCCTCCACACCAACCAAATCTAGCCAAATATCATTTAAACAATTCAATATAAGCTTTAGAAACTACCCACGAAATATAAAGGTCCAATCTTTAGCTAAATAAAAAAAGTCAACCCCAGGCCCGCTTGGACAAAATTCGAGATTTGTACCAAATCTCGATTACCCATTCACCCCCAAGTCCGGTTATGTGATTTGTGTCGACATATGACCTTAATTTGAGGTCTAAATTCAAATTTTATAAAAATCACTAAATTCTACACAAAACCCTTAATTTCTACCATACAATTCCTAGAGTTGAGGTTAAACACTCATGAAAAATAATTGAAATTAATTGAAAACTAGTTAAAGATGCTTACCAATGAATTTCGGAAGAAGAAGTGCTTCAAAAATCACCTCTAGAGAATTTAGGTTTGAAAAATGGTGTAAAATGACTTAAGTCCCGATTTTTTCCACTTTTACCCAGCAGCAGACATTGCATTTGCGAACACTTATTTGCAAATGCGATGTCCACAAATACGAGACACTGGTCGCAAATGCAAAAAATGCATCACATGCACAGACGTCGCAAATGCTATAGAACCTTCGCACTTGCGAAAGACACCCCCTTCGCATATGCAAGCCAAGCTTCACAAATGCGAAGGTGCCCAATACTATGCTACAACGCAAATGTGATGCCAGAGTCACAAAAGTGAACAGAGTAAACCTCGCAAAAGCGACTCATTCTTTGCAAATGCGAAGACCAATCCCATGCTCGCAAATGCGATCACTTGACCGCAAAAATGAGGCTCGCAAATGGGAGCCAGACCTTACAAATGCGAGTTCTGCAACTGAAATGCACCAGCTATTCTAAATCAATCTGCAATTCCTCTGAAACTCACCCGAGCCCTACAAACCAAGCATGCACACAAGTATAATAACATCCTACGAACTTTCTCTCTACCTCAAGTCATGAAAATAACAACGAATAACAAGAATCGATCCTCAAAACTCAAGATTTCAACTTGAAAACTCAACTTTCACAATTTTTCACATAACACGCTGAAATGTGCTCGGGTCACCCCGGACCCCAACCAAATATGCATACAATTCCAAAACCATCATACGAACCTACCGGAATCGTCAAAATACCGTTCTGAGGTTGTTTAACAAAAATATTGACTATAGTTAGCTCTAGCCTCATTTTAAGTCAAAATCATATTTTCATCAAAATTTTACATAAAGCTTTTCGGAAAATGACACGGACTACGAACGCAAATCGGTAAACATCAAACAAAGCTATGGGAGTTCTCGGAGCACAGAAATAACGGCTAGTACTCAAAATGACCTATCAAATCATCACATTCTCCACCTCTAAAAGAAACGTTCATCCTCGAACAGACATAAAATGTACCTAGACTGGCAATTGGTGGGGGTATCTACTCCGTATATAGGAATCAGACTCCCACATAGCCCCATCAATCGGCTGACCTCTCCATTGCACTTTCACATAAGGGAAACTCTTAGATCTGAACTTGCAAACCTGTTGGTCTAGAATAGCTACCGGCTCTTCCTCATAGGTCAAGTTTTCATCAAGCTGCTTCGTGCTGAAGTCCAAAACATGTGATCTATCCTCATGGTACTTAAGAAGTATGGAGGCGTGATATACCGGATGTACCCCTGCTAGGATAGGAGGCAATGCAAGCCTATAAGCAACCTTCCCAGCTCTCTCCAAGATCTCAAATGGGCTAATAAACCTCGAGCTCAATTTTTCCTTATTCCCAAACCACATCAGGCCCTTCATAGGCGACACTCGGAGAAGAACATTCTCACCTACCATGTAAGCTACATCTCGAGCCTTCCAGTCCGTATAACTCTTCTTCCTGGACTGAGCTGTACGAAGTCACTCCTGAATCACCTTAACCTTCTACATTACATCATGGACAAAATCAGTGCCTAACAATCTAGCCTCTCCGGGCTCAAACCAACCAATCAGTGAATGATATCGCCTCCCATATAAGGCCTCGTACAGGGCCATTTAGATGCTGGACTAATAGTTGTTGTTGTAGGCGAACTTTGCTAGATGTAAGAACTGGTCCCATGAACCTATGAAATCAGTAACACAAGCACGTAACAAATCCTCCAAGATCTGAATAGTACGCTCGGGCTGTCTGTCCGTATGAGGATGAAATGTTTTACTCAGCTCAACCCGTATGCCCAAATAACGTTGCACGGCTCTCAAAAAATACAACGTGAAATGCGTGCCGCATTCAAAAATGATGGAAATGGACATTCTGTGTAAGTGAATAATCTCCCAAAAATAAATCTTAGCCAACCACTCTGAAGAATAGGAAGTCATCACTGGAATGAAGAGTGTGGACTTAGTCAACTGG